AAGTTTTATAAAAGTTTTACAATATAATTCCCCCCCCCTCTCCAAAACCCTCCCTCCCCCTCCCCCCTTCCTCCCCCCACTTCCCAGAGCTAATCACAGGATTAACAAGATAATCGTGTTCTAACTAACATTAATCAACTATTAGAATAACAAATCTGTAAAGTCCTTTAACTCTCTTTTTAACATAAAATATATTAAGCTTAAACACAATAATAATAATATCATATTAGTAATTAAGAATAAGGATAAATAAACTGTTATTACATATTAACAACAATAATACTCTAAAATTCACTCAAAAACCAAATGAAACTTTTTGGTCCCATATTTATTCTCAATATAATCTATCCATCTTCTCCAGACCGAAATATATCTTTCTTGTGAATAATCCTTCACATAAGCGGAAATCTTGGCCATTTCTGCTAAATTTGAGACTTTAATTGACCATTCTTCTATAGTGGGCAATCGTTCCGTTTTCCAATATTGAGCTACTAGTAGTCTTGCAGCCGTTATAAGATTCAACATCAAATTCATTTCTTTAACGTCCAAATCTTCCATAATACCTAACAAAAATATCTGCAGTTTAAACTTTATCTTTTTCTTAAAAATATTTTGAATATTCCACCATATCTTAATCCAAAATGCTTTTATTTCCCTGCATGTCCACCAAATATGAAAATAAGTTGCATCTAAATTTCCACATCTCCAACACTTAGGTTGTAAATTAGGATACATGCAGGACAATTTTTGAGGATCCAAATGCCACCCATAAAACATTTTATAAAAATTTTCTCTTAAATTTTGAGCTTGAGTGAATTTTACATTTCTAACCCAAATTATCTCCCACATATCCAATGAAATCAGTTCTTGTATATTTTGAGCCCATTTTATCATACAATCCTTAATCAATTCCGTTTCTGAATCCAATTCTATCAAAGTATTATAGATTCTTTTAATATGAGCTTGAGATTGATCTTTAATCTGTTTAATCAAATTTTCATCCTGCAAAGTATTAATACCAACTTTTTTATCCAAACGCCACCTCATTAACAATTGATTGTAATAAAACCAGGAATATTCAATATTTTCTTGTTTCAAATCTACTAAAGATTTAATTTGCCAGGGATTCTTTATGACAAGTAAAAGTTATAGTCAGCTTAGCCATTTTAACTCTTTTCTACCTAGTGCTTTAGTTCCCTCTAGTGTCCATTTGCAATCTTCAACAAGCCTCAGTTAATACCAGTTTAGTTCTGCTTCAGTCACTTCCCATGGTATATTATTTAATTATATGCTTGTTTTTCAAATCGTACAGCAAAAATAGCCAACATTCCAAATCTCTCTGATCTCCTAGTTCATTTAAAACTTTCTGAAATCAATCTTTTTAATGCTTTTTTTCCAATTGTATATTATTTTACAATTTATCTTAAATCTCTGTTTAAAATTCCTTAAAGTTGAAGAAATAAAACTCACCAGGTGCCAAGGTAAGCTCACTATTTTAAAAGTCTTTAATATATATAAAGTATT